GCCAGACTCTTACAGAACCTGAGCTTCTCATTTTTTTCTTATCTCTGCCTTTTGTGAACCAGTTCAGCGCTTTAATATCTACTAATCTTGAATCCCCTGACCTCTGTGAAATTAGCAGTTATGTGTTGCCCAAACCCAACCATAGGTCACTTCCACCATTCACCTTATTTGCTTCTGTTTACTAGCTGCTGAATGGAACTGGAGAAAAATCATAGAATTTTTGATTAGGTCCACTACAAATTTATTACATAATCTCATCTGGGCGCTCACTGAAATAAGGTAATCTTTTGACACCTCCCTAATTGATGCTTTTTTTTCCTACTTACCGAGAAACTGTTTCAAAACTTTCTTCAACTTCCCCATCCTCTTAACTGAGGAATTCTCACATTTCATCAAAAAATTGATGACGTTCACTTTCTCTCTTTTCTTTTTCTCATGCCATTGGGCTTTCTTCTTCCCTCACCATCTCTTCCTTACTTCTCTGTGAAGAGGTGCTCTTTCCAGTCTCACCCATTCCCTTCTCAAGGTGAGTTTCCCCTTTACCATCCCTATTTTTTGGTCTTTTCCTTATTTTATCCTTTCTCTACTGCCTGTAAGCACAACCATATCTCCCTCATCCTTAAAAACAACAACAACAAAACCTTTTAATCCAGTCATCTCCATGGCTCATAATTTAGTATCTCTGTTTCCCATTTTGGCTAAAAAGCTTGAGAAAGCCATTTTCACTAGGAGCCTCTGCTTCTCTTCTTACTCTCTTCTCAATGCTCTGTACTTTGTTTGCTACCCAGCTCATTTCACTGGAATTTCCTTTTCTAAAATTGCTAATGATCAGATTGTCATATCTTTAAAAATTTTTTTTCCCATTTAGCCAATGTTTTGTTTTTTCCAATTACATGTAAAGACAGTTTTCAACATTCAATTTTATAAGATTTTGAGTTCCAGATTTTTTTCTCCCCTTTCCCCAAGATGGCAAGCAGTCTGATATAGGCTATATGTTAAGTGTATTTCCACATTAGTCATGTTGTGAAAGAAGAATCAGAACAAAAGGGAAAAACTATGAGAAAGAAAAAACAACCAAAAAAGAGAGAAAATAGTATATACTTCGATCTGCATTCAGACACTATAGCTCTTTCTCTGGATGTGGGTAGAGTTCTCCTTCATGAGTGTTTTGGAATTGTCTGAGATCGTTGTATTGCTGAGAAGAGCAAAGTCTAACAAAGTTGGTCATAAAATGTTGCTATTACTGTGTACAATACCTTCTTGGTTCTGCTCACCTCACTCAGCATCAGTTCACATAAATCTTTCCAGATTTTTCTGAAGTCATTTCTTTTTAAAAAAATTTTATTAATTTATTTTGATTTATCAGTAATCACTTCCATATGCTTTTGAGTTTAAAATTTTTTCTCCCCCTTCCTCCCACCACCCTCCCCAAGACGACACACAATTTGATGTAGGCTATACATTTACATTCCTGTTAAACATATTTTCACATTAGTGGTGTGGAAGTAAAAATTAAAACCAATAGGAGGAACCATCAGAAAGAGGAAACAAAACTCAACAGAAAAGAAAAAAAAATAGCAATTCAGCTTTCATGGTTCTTTCTTTGGATGTGAATAGCATTTTCCATCACAAGGCCTGTGGAGATGTCTTAGATCCTTGTATTGCTGGGAAGGCTTAAGTTTATCAGTATTAGTCATCACATGTGTACAACGTTCTCTAGGTTCTGCTCATTTCACTCAGCATCAGACCATACAAGTCTTTCCAGGTTTTTCTGAAGTCAGCCTGTTCATCATTTCTTATAGTACAATAGTATTCCATTACATTCATATACCACAACTTGCTCAGCCATTCCCCAATTGAAGGGTATTCCCTCAATTTCTAATTCTTTGCTACCACAAAAAGAGCTGCTATAAATATTTTTGTACGCTTCCTTTTCTCTTTTTTATGATCTCTTTGGGATTCAGACTTAGTAGTGGTATTGCTGGATTAAAGGGCATGCACAGTTTTATAGCCCTTTGGGTATAGTTCCAAATTGCTCTCCATAATGTTGGATCGGTTCACAACTCAACCAACAATGCGTTAGTGTTCAGTTTTCCCACATCTTCTCCAACATTTATCATTTTCCTTTTTTGTCATATTAGCCATTTAGGTGTGAGGTGGTACTTCAGAGTTGTTTTAATTTGCATTTCTCTAATCAATTTTAATTTAGAGCTATATTGTCAAATCTTTTTTTTTTAAAATTTACTTATTTTTAGTATTCAACATTCATTTCCACAAGATTTTGAGTTCCAAATTTTCTCCCCATCTCATCCCTACCCTCATCCCAAGATGGCATGCATTCTGAATATCCCTTCCCCTAATCTTCCCTCCCTTCTATCTCACCCCCCTTCTCTTATCCCCTTCCTCTTCTGTTTTCCTGTAAGGCAGGATAGATTTCTGTACTCCATTTCCTGTATTTCATATTTCCCAGTTGCATGTGAAAACAATTTTTTTAACATGTGTTTTTAAAACTTTAGGTTCCAGATTTTCTCCTTCCTCCCTCCCCACCCACCCTCATTGAAAAGGCAAGCAGCTTGATACAGGTTATGTATGTGTAGTTATGCAAAACACTTCCGTAGTAGTCATATTGTGAAAAACTAAGTATATTTCCCTTCATCCTATCCCATCTCCCATTTATTCTATTTCTTTTTACTCTGTCCTTCCTCAGAAGTGTTTGCTTCTGATTACCCTCTCCCTCAATCTGCCCTCCCCTCTATCATCCCCCTGCTCTCTTGTCCCCTTTCCCCCCTTATTTTCCTGTAGGGTAAGATTGATTTCCATACCCAATTGAATGTGTATGTTATTTCCTCCTTAAGCCAAATCCGAGGAGAATAAGATTCGCTCATTCCCTCTCACCTTCCCCCCGTTTCCCTTCCATTGTAAAAGCCTTTTCTTATCTGGTTCACGTGAGATAATTTACCCTATTCTACCTCTCCTTTTCTCCTTCTCCCAGTATAATCCTTTCTAACCTCTTAATTTTATTCTCTAGATATCACCTCCTACATCTTCAACTCACCCTGTGCCATCTGTCTGTCTGTCTCTGTCTGTCTATCTATCTATCTGTCTTTCTATCTATCTATCTGTCTTTCTTTCTGTCTGTCTACCTACCTTTCTTTCCGTCCATCTGTCTTTCTTTCTTTCTTTCTTTCTTTCTTTCTTTCTTCTTTCTTTCTTTCTTTCTTTCTGTCTTTCTGTCTGTCTGTCTGTCTGTCTGTCTGTCTGTCTGTCTGTCTTTTCTGTCTTTCTGTCTTTCTGTTTGTATATATATATGTGTGTGTGTGTGTATATGTATACATACATACATACATACATACATACATACATACATATAGTTTTTTCTCTCCAAGTACCCTAATACTGACAAAGATCTCATGAGTTACAAATATCATCTTTCCATGCGGGAATGTAAACAGTTCAACCTTAATAAGTCTCTTATGATTTCTCTTTCCTGTTTACCTCTTCATGTTTCACTTGAATCTTATATTTGAAAGTCAGGTTTTCTGTTCAGCTCCGGTCTTTTCATCAAGAATGCTTGAAAGTTCCCTGTTTCGTTGAATGACCATTTTTCACCCTGAAGGATTATACTCAGTTTTGCTGGATAGGTGATTCTTGGTTGTAATCCTATCTCCTTTGCCCTCCAGAGTATCATACTCCATGCCCTCTGGACCCTTAATGTAGAAGCTGCTAAATCTTGTGCTATCCTGAGTGTGTTTCTTTCTGGCTGCTTGCAGTATTTTCTCCTTGACCTGGGAACTCTGGAATTTGGCTGCAATATTCTTAGGAGTTTTCCTTTGGGGATCTCTTTCAGGAGGTGATTTGTGGATTCTTTCCATTTCTGTTTTGCCCTCTGGTTCTAAAATATCAGGGCAGTTTTCCTTGATAATTTCTTGAAAGATGATGTCTAGGCTCTTTTTTTTTTTTTGATCATGGCTTTCACATAGTCCAGTAATTTTTTAGTTATCTTTCCTGGATCTGTTGTCCAGGTCAGTTATTTTTCCAATGAGATATTTCACATTGTTTTCTACTTTTCATTCTTTTGGATTTGTTTTATAGTGTCTTGATTTCTTATAAAGTCATTAGCTTCCAATTGCTCTATTCTAATTTTTGAGGAAGTATTTTTTTCAGTGAGCTTTTGGACTTTTCCATTTGGCTAATTCTGCTTTTTAACGTAGTCTTCTCCTCATTGGCTTTTTTGCCATTTGGGTTAGGCTATTTTTTAATATGTTATCTTCAGTATTTTTTTGGGTACACTTTTCTGTATCATACTTGATCCTGTTAAATTTGACTCATTCTATTCTGTTGTGATCCCTGGCTGAGGGAGAAAAGAAGTAGGATTTTTAAAGATTCTATATAGATCTTAAATTTGCATTGCTACTACAGTCTGCTGAGTTTGAGAAATATGTGGTTAAATCATTTGCAGTCTGTAGATTAGTGAGTTGTTTCCAAATAAATTTGTTATTGAGTAGGCTAAGCCTTTAGACCATGGATGGGGAACCTGTGTCCTCAAGTATGGCTCTTTGACTAAATCTAAATTTCGCAGAAGAAATGCCATTAATAAAAGGATTTGTTCGTAAAACTTGAGCTCAGTCAAAAGGTGCTCTTTGGTCAAGATAAATGGTACCCAGTATAGTTGAAGATTGTTTTGCTCTGTGGAATTAAGTGATGTTCTTGTCATGTAGATAGTTGTATTTTTTGAAGTATCAAGTTTTTTTAATATCTGCAGTAATACTTAGCAGCCAGTTGATTTTGATATGTGGTTGGGGCCCAGGTGGTGTCTGGTGATGAATAGTAGGTTTCAATCAATAATTAAGATGGGATAAGAATGTAAGAATTATTACAAATTATGTATACATTTCCTTTAACAACTAATAATGTGAATAATTATAATAATTTTTTTCTTAATTTTTGAGGTATTTATATTAGATCTTTTCCCTAAAATCTTAATTTATTTTTTTCCCCAGATGGATTTAATGCCCTTTATTAATAAAGCTGGATGTGAATGCCTTAATGAAAGCGATGAGCATGGATTTGATAATTGTTTACGCAAAGACCCTTCCTTCTTGGAATCTGACTGTGATGAACAGGTATGTAATGTTTAACTCAAAATTTGGAAACAATACTTAGTGTTAAAGGGTCTGTGAGTAAAAATTTGATGGGCATTTTAGAGCTAAGAAAAGGGTTCCTGCTTCCAGCTCTCCAGTCTCGAATCTCTCTTCCCTGACATCATAAAACATAAAAAATCTATTTATTTTGTTCCTGGAAAGCTTGCCAGCAGCAGCATTTTACCGTCTGAGATTCTGGTCAAAGAAAGCACTTTTTAAAAAAAGTGTTTATTCACATCTTTTGTTTTTATGTCACCTGAAGTTCCCAGTGTGTGTGTTATGTATATATAGAGCTATCTATCTATCTATCTATCTATCTATAGTGTATGTATATATACACATGTGTATATATGTATGTATCACATATACACATATGTGTATGAATATACACATGTACGTGTATGTACACACACATACCTATATGTAGATCTATACACACACATATAGGTATTGATCTGTATATAGCTATCTATCTATCTACCTCCTTCCTTCCCTTGCTGGAGCTAATTCTTCAAAACAAACAAAAAAACAATTCAAGGTAACTAACGGTTTGAAAAAGTCTGACACAATTTGTATGAGTTCATAAAACACTTCTCATATCTCAGAGTTACTCATGTTTTCTTATAATGAGATATATTTCATTGCATGCATATACCATAATTTGTAGTGCATATCTCATATTCAGATTTTTTGCGACCACAGGAAGTGTTTTCTGTAAATATTTTAGCATGTAGGGGACTTGCCTCTGACTTTGACCTTCTTTGTATATATGCTTAGTACTGGGATGGCCACATGATTTATCAGTAGTTGAGACATTTTTCTTGCATAATATCAAAATATTTTTCAAAATAGTTCACAGTTCCACAATAGTATATATATAATAGTATGTGTATAATGTCTTCCCACATTGCTCACATTATGAACTATTTACATATTTTATTGTCTTTATTCCTTTGAGGGGTATTAGGTGAAAAATGAAATGTTTTATTCTATATTTCTCTTATTTCCAACCTACTTTGAGGACTGAGCGATTTTTAATGTTATACATACCTATAATAACTTTTTCTGCCAGTCTTTGATATTTTATGTGCATTGAAGTATTGGACTTTTTTTTTTTTGCTATCACTGCTTAAACTTTCATGATGATGAAACTCATTTTCTTCACAGCTGCTTATCACTGTGGCTTTCAATCAGCCTGTTAAGCTTTATTCCATGAAATTTCAAGGGCCAGATAATGGTGAGTAAATAATAACCTTTCTTTTAACTGTTAGCTTTAAATTTTTTAGTTATTCAATTTTTTTTTGTTATTTTTTGACCTAGAAGAATTAAGTGGGCATGAGGAGTTTTTGACATCTTTAATGACATGAACTGAAGAGTACTATTTGCTACTCACTACAGAAACTTTATTTTGCATTCAGAATTCTAGTATTGATTTTAAATCCACTGGGGTGGATTTAACTACCTTAGTTTAAGTGGATAAAAAATTGATTCTGTCTAAAAATAAACTTTAAATACATTCTTTGTGATTTAATGTCATTATAACATTTTAATAGATCATTAAGTGTTGAAATCAAGTTTCATTGTTTTAACAGCTCATAGATAACTTTTTTAAAAAAAATTGAAATTTAATGGTGTCAGAGACTATGTTTCTTGAGCTCATCTTTTTTGTGCTCCTCAGTAGCTAACACAATGCTCTGCAGATAGTATGCATCCTAAATAAATGTTTAATGAACAAAATTCTACTTCTTGAAACGAACAAGTAGTTAATTTGATTATAGTAAGCATGGGCGTTAATGATTAATTCAGATTATTAGGATATATATATATATACATATATATATAATATGATTATTCGGATTAATCTGTAGGAAGATGGCATTTTTTTTAAAAAGGGAATATTTTAAAATTGGAGGTTACAAAAGGGAAATATATTTAAAGTTAAATGTCATATATTGTAAAGAGTGTATCCAAGGCATGAAGATGCTAGGTTATTTTTTTTTTTTAATTTACTGTTCTTTTGGAGCCTTTAAGGGAAAGTTCTCTTCCCCCTCAATGATTTGAAAAACCAAGTTGGCAGTGAAGTCTGTGGATTCCTCAAGATTCCAAATAGGCCTAATTTTAGCTTTGGAAACTCAGATTATTAGAGGTAACATTTCCTTAATAATATGGCAACACATTCTGCTATATGATAGATGAGGTGAGTAGTTAGTGCATATTTGAGACTTTGCAGTAACAAGAAATAATTGCTTTGTTTTGAGATTATTAGATATTAAAGTTATGAGGGAAGACAGGAAATTTTGACCATCATATAATTCCAGATTTTGAAGGTTCATCCCTTTTTTGAGCAAATAGGTAATTTCTCAATTTTGAGCAGTTGGCTAAGTGACCTTTTAAAAAAAAAGTTGATTGAGTTTCAAGTTTTTCTCCAAATGTCAACTTATATTTTCCCCTGTCTTTTTAGATATTTTGTCTGTTTATCAAACTGTGCCATTTAAAATTAGTTTATAAATTTAAAGCACTTATTAAAAAATGCTGTAGAAAATTTTTTCAAGACATATGTTGCTTCCCTCCTGTTGGGACCTTAATTACTTCATTTTATTTCACTAGGCCTTAGTTTCCTTATCTGTAAAATGGTGTTGGATTAGATCTCCAAAGTCCTTTTTAGTTCTAAAGTTTATAACCCATAAGAATCCCTTATTAAGCAAGTTTCTGATTCTTCCCCTACCTCCAAATTTAATTTAGAAATAGAAATTTTAGCATGCCCTGAAAGTGAGGGCAAATTATTAATGCTGATATTCCATTGAAAATATCCTTTTTATTCATCTCAGTCTGATTTGAAGGCCTTCTTGCTCACATGTCCCCACTAAGATATTTTTTAAATCTTAAGATCTGAATAATTATTGGATGTTAGCAGAGTATTTTAAGGTTTCCCTAAAAAGTTCCTGATCTGGAGGTTTAAAAAACTCTTTTTTCCGTGTAGGTCAGGGTCCTAAGTATATAAAAATCTTTATCAATCTACCCCGATCTATGGATTTTGAAGAGGCAGAAAGAAGTGAACCAACTCAAGCCCTGGAACTAACACAAGATGATATTAAAGAAGATGGTATTGTCCAACTTCGTTATGTTAAATTCCAAAATGTTAACAGTGTAACTGTAAGTAATGTTTCATGAAGGCATCAAAAAGATTTGTTAATGACTTATGTAACTAGTTATTCATATTTAGTGACTTCCATTCTTATATATGCTAAACTAATTTAATTTTTCTCTTTTAAACTCGTGAATTCTTCCCCCACTCTATTATGGACTAGCCAGTTTTTTATATTTTGAAGTCTCATAAAATGCATATGAAAAATGTTGGCTTAACTTAACTCTTTTTTTAAAAGTAAATTATTTTTAAAGATATATTTAATTCTTTAAAATTTCTGTGTAGCTATAGAAGGCTAATGGGTATAAATGACAGGGAGACTAATAGAAAGCCTTAACAATTAGAGCTATTTAAAAATGTACTACTTTATTAAGCAGTGAGCTTTTTGTGATTAGAGATTCCCTCCTAAGACTGGATGATCACTTATCAGCAATGTTGCAAAGGCAGCTTTGATACCAACAGAATTTGAAAAGAGTGCAAAGAATCCTGGACTTCTACACATACTATAGGCAGTGAGGTGGAGCAGTGGATAGAGCCCTGGGCCTGGAGTTGGCAGAGCTGAGTTAAAATCTGGCTGTAGGCACTTACCAGCTGTGTGACCTTGGGCAAGTCACTTAACGCAGTTTGCCTGTTTCTTCTACTGTCAAATGAAAATAATAGTTGTTATTGTGAGGGTCAAATGTGAAATACTTATTAGCACTTAGTATGTGTCTGGCGCATAGTAGGCCCTATATAAATGCTAGCTCCTGTTACTACTACTACCGCCACTACTATCATTTTCTAGCCACCTGGGCAAGTCAGCTAAAGAAATCTGTTTGCTTTTCGATTTTATTATCTATAGTACTTTATGGTTATGTATGAGAAAAATTAGATAACTAGATAAAAGAAAGAAAAAGGGATTAATAACAAAGAATTCGAAAACTAGAGAATGAGAATAAATGAGAGCCTGTGGGAATTGGGTTGCCTTAAAGTAGATTAAAAAAATAACTGAAGGGACAAACTCATGACTTTAAAAATGAATGGAGCAGGGCAGTTAGCTGGCGCATTGCACAGAGCTCCAGCCTTGGAGTCAGGAGGACCTGAGTTCAAATCTGTCCTCAGACAATTGACACTTAACTGGCTGTGTTACCCTGGGCAAGTCCCTTAAACCTGATTGCCTCACCCAAAAGAAGAAAAAAAGGGAATAGAGGGATAGCTATATGGCACGTTGGAGAGAATATAAGTTGGGATGATACCTGAGCCACTTTGGAGAAGTAAGTTAACCTTGACGAGAGAGGGAGAGGGAGAGGGAGGACCTCATAATCTGTTGCTTACAAGAAACACACCTCAAAAACAAAGACATACATAAAAATAAGAGGCTGCAACAAAATTTACTGTGCATCAGGTGAATCCAAAAAAAAGCAGAAGTTGGAATCATCAAAGCAAAAACAAAAAATTCACAACAGTTAAATGTAAGCCTTTCAGGAGAAGGGAGGTCCTATGTTGGACCACCCTCCAAGGTCTTTTTAAACTTCAAGTTCTATGATGTATTTTTGCCCACAGTAGAAGCAGTTGTTATCCTCAGTACTTGTGTGTGGCTCAGGATATGTCAGGAGAGTGTCTTTGCTCAAGATTCTTTAGGATGAAATCCTAATTTGTTACCTCTTTTTATTTAAGACAGTGTACAGCTGTTAGATGAAGTATGTGGAGGGAGTTGGAGAGTGAATGGAAAAGGCCTTCAATGGCTTCCACATTCGAGTGATATGGCTTCTGTAGTTTCCTGGCTATTTTTGCCCTTTGGGACATAAGCTTCCTGGTACAAAGTGAGAAAGTAAAAAAATAAGACTGGTCTTGTCCTGTTAGTTAATACACTCTCTCCTCTCTCTCCTGTCCTCCTGTCTTCTCTTGTTGGTGAGACAGTTGAGGTAAAGTGACTTGCCCAGGGTCACACAGCTACTAAGTGTCAACTGTGTGAGGCTGGATTTGAACTTGGGTCCTCCTGACTCCAAGGCCACAACTCTACTTTGCCACCTACTTGCCCCCTAATATACTAATTTTCATGTAATATTTTTTTTTCTAAATGTAGTAAAGAGCTTAAACATCAGGTAGCCTAGGATTTAGAATGAGAAGAGCTGGGTCCCTTCTGAGGCATCTGAAGAGTTATATTTTTAATTATTTAAATTCAAGCATTTAAGCACCTGCTGTATGCCAGGCCACACTCAAATGCTTGAACAGCAGCAATATGCCAGGTACTGTGTTAGGTACTGTGGATACAAAGACAAAGATGACAATGGCCCCTGCCATTGAGGAGAGTACATTCTATGTGAACCTTCAGCAATGTGTTCTGAAGACATCAGAAATTCTGCCATTCCATCAACAGTTATTTTTTCTTATTAAGGCATAAGACTTTTCTCTGTGTGTGTGTGTGTGTGTGTGTGTGTGTGTGTGTGTGTGTGTGTGTGTGTGTATGTATGTATATGTAACTATGGCAACATTTAGAGTAAGGGTAGGGAACTAGAACTAAGTGAGTGAAAGTCATGGTATAAGGAGGCCCTTGAAAGATATAGTGTTAGGAACACATTCTTTAAATTTCATTTTTGTTCTTTAATTCCATTTACTTTTTACCTGTAATGCAATTTAGATGTAGCCTGAAGGAAATTAATAAATATAAAAAAAATCTAACTTGTTGCACATTCATCAAAAATTCATTGGTAAATGTAGATAACAAAAACTCCTTTTCTTTTAGTTATTTGTTCAGTCCAATCAAGGTGAAGAAGAAACAACAAGAGTTTCATATTTTACATTTATTGGTACTCCAGTTCAAGCAACAAATATGAATGACTTCAAACGAGTAAGTTTGCTCTAAATAACAGTTTCCTAGAGGAAATGTAAAGTCTAAAGATTATTCTTTAAAGAAAATGTATTTACATTTATTTTGTTACTGTTAAGTGATAACAATCAGATTTTCCATCCCAGAACAATGTGAAATTTGAGTTTTCACATAAGGATTAGAGTTGTATTATCAAATAAGATGTATTATCTCATCAGCGAAAAGGCACCTTACTGGATTTAGTAGCTGTGTATCTTTAACATCTAATTCTTTTGCTGAGTTTAGCTAATGGTACTTCAGACAAGTTAAAGGGGAAATGAAAGAAAGATGGCTGGCATTAATATTGCTAGCATTTGGAACTTAAAGTTAAGAGTTGGAATAAATGGAATATTTGACTGCCAAGTAGTAACAGCACCTTGTAGTGAACAACTTAAAGGGCAGTGGTATGAAGATTTTGATTATTGTTTTTTTTGAAGATATATTTTAAAAACAAAACAGTTTAAGGAATCTGCTGTACAGAAATACTGCATTTCCAAAAGAAAAGTGGACTGAGTGCATTTCACAGGATGTGGAACTTTATAATCTAATTTTTAAATATTGTAGTATTCTTAATATAAAAAGACAACTTATATTTTAATATCCACTGACTTTTATTGAGAACTCTTAATATATGTGGTAGCCTTGGGGACCTAGGGTCTGATACTTAAATAGAAGTTTTTTCTGGGGAGTGACATCTCCCAGGCTGGAGAACACACACATCATTCCATCATAAGAAAACTATTCATCATTAATACCAGTGGGCCAGTAATTAGTTTAAACTTAGGATTCAGGAAGTGTGGAACCTGGTCATCACCAGAAGTGTCATAAAATCTAAATTCATCTATTCAGTCAAAAACATTTTTTAAGTATCTGTCATGTGCCAGGCCCTGGCACTACAGATACAAACATGAGACATTCTTTGGCACTAAGGGGCATATCTGTTCACAGGTCAGTATTTAGGGCATATATAAATAAATACACATAACCAATGGGGAGAGGCTAGAAAGGGGAAGGCACTAACAACCAGGAGTCAGTCAAGCTCTCTGGAAGGGAGAAGGTGATCTGAGCTGCTTGAAGGAGCTGGTTCCAAAGAATGGAGTCGAGGAGGCTAGTCAGTTCAGGAGTGGGAGATGCTCATATCCTTTACTGTAAGTGGTTTTATTGAATCACATGTTCTTCATAAAACAGAAAACGTTAATAAGTATCTCAGCTGGATATGGGTGGGAAGCCATGGGATATTGGAGAGTGCCAAATTTGAGGTCAGAGGGCTTGGATTCAAATCTCAGCCCTCTCTTGGGGTAAGTCACTTACCTGGACCTCATTTTTATCTGAAAAATGAGGTTTGTATTAGATGAATCTATAAGTCTATGATCAAATCAAATTCCTAAGTATTGTCATAGTTCAAAGTGTGATTAACTTTCTGGAACCATTTTATCATCCCAAACAAACTATATGCCTAGATTTGATGAATAAAATGAAAGGTTGAAAAATAACTGTAGCCAGTGGGGGAAGTTTTGGTGTGAGCAAAAAAACCCAAACAAACCAGTTTTTAGTTGATTGACTGCTTTGTCAGTCAAAGTTAAATGGCAGTTTGTTTAAACAGTTCTTAGTTGTGCTGTGCCTTATTTGGAGTACTCCAATGTCCCCTGTTCCCTTAAAGTCTCTTTGGAGGTTATTAATAACCCTGTAAATGGCATATGTTTGTGTTTCTGTTTTTCTAATTTTCTGATTCTAGCCCCATATATTATTCCTCATCCCTCACTACAGTTCATACTAACAATTGATTTCAAAGATCTTTTTAATATATTCACACATAAACTTAGTATATACCTTTTGCCTTTCATCTCTCATCCTGTTTGTACTCGTTTTCCTTACTTGTATTTATTACAGTCATATCCTGGTCTTTTGCATTTACTTTCATTGTCCCTCACATCTAGTCTAGTCACCTTTATTTTCATTTGCCAAATCAATATTGTTCTCCTCTTTGAAGACTGGTTCAGGACCTGCCTCCTTCAGGATGACCAACAAGGTGTTACAAGTATACTGTCTTTGGCATGTGTGCCTGTTTATTTTAGTACTTTGCTTTATATTTATCTCGTTAATTTGTTTAATGTTGTTATTAAAATTGTTTTATATTCTTGACACTTTTATGTTTTGCCCCTCCATTCCTGTTCTTTCAGTATAGCACATTGAGTTAGTAAGAATTGATTAGCTATTTGGACTTAGTAAATATTGCATGTGCCCTTTTTTTTCCTTTTGGAGGCCTACATGGATCTTTTTTTCTTGTTGTAGTCACTTATTTTGTTGTTTTTAGCAAATATGTTTCAGTGATATATGTAATATCAGTTCAGTCGGTTGAAAACAAAAAATCAGTCAGAAAGTAAGGATTTTGTGACACTTGTTTGAGTTTTTCTTTAGAATTGTTAGGTGACATTCTATAGAGGAGGGAATGCTTATGTTTTAAAAATGAATTTTGATATGAAACACAACACATATTGTTTACATAACTATTTAACTAGTGGAGATAGAAATGAAATCTAAAACACATTTCCTGTTAACTAAAAGTATTTCTAATCTAGTTAGGGAGGCCAAGGTAATAAATACTTGGAAAGTTATATAAGACTTTTGGAAAGTTATCTAACCAATGATAATGAAAGAAATGTCACAAAGTTACTACAAGATTGGTACAGAGACCAGTCAATAGTAGCATAGGCAACTAGTCCTGTAAGTTCAGAAGAGAGAAAGATTCTCTGGGAAGCCTTTGTGGCAAGGTAATGGGACTTGAACCAAGCCATTTGGTTGTGATTGGAGGGAGGCCATGTCATTCATTCAACAGTTTGTGTGCTTGCAAAGCACTGAAGGAGATACACAAGCAACAGCCACTGCTCCATGGACTTTTATAAATTGGAATAAAAGGCATGGGCAAAGGCATGGAATCAAGGAGCATGAAGCTTGCTGACAAGGCCAGAAGTATAACATTTTTTTCCTTTTCTTGTTTACTCAGTCCAAATGGGGTTATTAATAAATTTTTTCAGGTGAAGTTAAAATTAACCTAGGCAGTTCTGTTCAGTAGAGTGAATAAGTATTTGATGTGTGTAGTGAAGCAAATAGCAGTGAATATTTTGTTGTAACACTTTTGAAGAGCAGAAAATAGAATCTTTTAGCTTTATTATCTTTGGGGTGGGGGAGAGAATTGACTCTCATTGTAGTGCTAACATTGTATCTTTCCTGAAGTTCTGGTAATGCTAAAGGATGCATATTTGAATGTGAACAGAATTTTTTACCTTAGAATTCTCTTTTTTTCCCCATACCCCCGCCCCCACATGCCATCATGTGATGTCTCAGGCTACATAACAATTGATTTAAGATAAAGAGTGGGTAAAATTAACATTATTGATTGCAAATTGGATTGATACAGTAGTCATTACAATTAGTTTTTAATATATATTCAGAGAGGTGGGATCATTTTATGAATTTTAACTTGAGGGAAAAATAAAATATAAAATCTCCAATGTTATATAGTGTGACAAGCTAGCAGTCTAAAATCTGGGGAAGTAGAGTTGGGGTTTTTTGGTGCTAAAATATGCTGTGTATGTAGGTTGCTTTGTTTTACTACTTTTTATTAAAACCAAAATTGCAATTGTCTTTAAATGAGCAAAAAATATGTATTTAGCAAAAATGTAGATGCTTCTTCTGTCTCTTTCTGTGTGGGAATGACACTCATATAAAAAGCCAAGCAGGTTTTTATTACTGTAATGAAACTATACTTCCCCTTATTCTCTAAATTGGCCACTCACATTTGCCAGCTATTTTTGTAACACTTTTGTCTGTTTATTTTTCAGCTGATTAATCCAACTCAAATGAACTAAAAACAGAAGATTTTTTTAAATGAAGTAATATAAAGATTGATCTTATCCCACTCTACTCCCCTCCTTGCTTCTCTGCTCATCTAGCACCTGTCTGCTCTCACCCTTTCCACAGTATCACCATTCCTGGTGCAAGAGCCTTCTCTACAGCTCCTATCATCTGGATCAGCCTTCTTGTATCCATATTTCATCAACCATCTCTCTTCAGTTCCCACCTTAGTCATTTCTCTCACTTGGGCTATTAATTTTGTTTTCTTTACAACTGAGTGCTTTTATTTATTCGCCATACCATATGTCTTATACTGCTTTCTGTTAATTTTTAATTTTCTGCTGTTTTGTACTTAATTTCATAAAGCATTTTAAGGAAATTGTACTTTGAATCACGATTTGAAGTACAATTCTGCTTAATTTTTACATTTGCTAAATTAATGTGAAATGAAATAATCAGTCCTGAAGGCTGCTTTAGTTTTTGTTTTATGATATCATATATCTTTTAGTTGGTTTCATTTAGCAAATTAAATATTGCATAACCCATGATAGCATTTTCATGTTCTTTTGTACTCACATGATGTTTTTGGTAGGTAGGCTTTGAGAGTTGGAGAAGGGTGGGAGGAGAAGGTGCAAGCTGCCTTATTTCTGATTCCTTTTGTATCCTGATAGATTAGAAGGCTTTTAAGAGGTAGTTATTTCTTTTTTGTTTTTGATTTAACTTGCGTGTGTTTTAAACTTAAAGAATTTAGATTAAAGATGTCCATCATAACAGAAAGCTCAGGGCCAGATGGTAGGATAGGGGTAAATATTAAAATAGAAGGCAGTCTGAATTTTTTCCAAAAAACTAAATCTTTAGTGCCCAGTACTGATGTACCCTAGATGCTGTTAGTCAGTGGAGTGATGTATGGGCTCAGAGAAGGAAGAAAAAACCCTTAGGGCTTGGGGGTGGCAAATCCAAATGTACTGGTATGCTTAATTTCTTTTTTTTACAGAGAATACACATTGGCAAGTTGAGAGGTATCAACCTGTGAAACCAGTATGCAGATTTGTATCTTCACTGTTACACATCTGCTAACATTTTAATTAATATATTAGTGAGGTGTTTTTTTTTTGGTTTTGTTTTGTTGTTTGCTTAATCCAAAAGCTCACTGTTGTGCTTGTTGCCACAATAATACAAGTGAAGAATAAATGCTTTTAATAATCTGTTTAAATTATTTCTTGATACAGTTGAATCTCTTTCACTGCCCCTGGTAGTTCTTAAATACTCTTTACTTCTTTCTCCATTCTCTCTTCTTTTTCGGGGGGTAGTGGTGGAGGGGGGAGGTTTGAGGCAATTGGGAGTAAGTGACTTGCCCAGAGTCACACAGCTAGTGAGTGTTATATGTCTGAGGCTGGATTTCAGCTCAGGTCCTCCTTACTCCAGGGCCGGTGCTCTATCCACTGTGCTACCTAGCTGCCCCTCCTTCCCCCTCCCAATTCCCTATTCTTAAAGCTGTGTATGCTATTATTAGTTTTTAAAGTTTCTTGATGTAGTTCTTTCTGGAATTAAGAGTCCAGTTTTGTTAGTCATTAGAATGTTTTCCCCTTTATAGGAGAAAAACCTGTGCTTAGAGTCCTAAAATGCTAGAGCTAAAAAGGGATCTGAGAGATCATCTGGTCTGTTCCCTAAACCTGTAAATGACCTTCGAAGTAGTAGATGGCATTCTGAACTTAGTCCCTCACTATGTTAGGCTGAGCCATGTTCTTTACTTTTTACATTTGTCATATATAGGGTATCTCAAAAGTCTTAATGCAGCTTTAAGCTTTTAAAGCTTAATGTGATAAGAAATAAATTAAAGCTAAGGTAATAACTTAAAACTGCACAAAAGATTTCTGGGACAGCCTGTATATTGGTGACTTGGCATGAATGTTGCATGATACAAAACTGCTCTTGTTAGGAGACAGTTTGTAAGTGGTGAATTGTAGTGCATTTTATATTCACTTATTTCTGCTGTTAAAATGCAGTTTCTTTGATTTGTAGACTTTTAGGATTAAGTATTATTAGGATGTAAACATATTTTAATTCAAAAATAAACTTCTAGATCTTTTGACAGAAACATGGTTTTACTTACATTTTTAGAACTTTATATTTTTATTGAAGCCAGTATGTTAGATTCAACTGAAAACAACTGAATCTAGTAGAAAACTGTGCATTAAGGAAAATAGCATCTCTCTCTGGTGCAGAAATTAGTTGTTTTTGATCATCTTTTTATCGCATGTTTGTACATTGTTGAAGAAATTTAAAAACCTGTCAACAGCATGAAGAGATGGATTTAGGCTACTGTTAATTCGAACTTTTTTCAATAGACACTTAATTAAAAATTCATTTTAATAGTATGGAAAATATGTTCTGCTTTACTCATATAGGAGCTTTTTGTTTTCTTAACTTTTCTAAATTGTCAACCTTGCTTGGAAAACTGTGTGGAAAAGCCAGAAAAAACCCGCATGTGTTCCATTTCTTCCTTGGGCAGTCTTGGGAACCTAGTGACTGAGGGCAGAGTCACAGTTTGCTCCAACACTGAAAGTAGATTGCATGCCAAAAAGATGCAGTGATAAAAATTGATACTAGTTTTTTTGGGGGGGAAAGGTTTGTTTTGTTCGTATTTTTAAAACAAACGCACATTTCCAAATCAAATTATGCATTCACAGTTACTTTTCTTTCTTTCTAGGTAGTTGGTAAGAAAGGAGAAAGCCATTAAGATGCAGAAGACACTGGAAAACCCTTATTGCAATCAAAATGGATCTTCACTTTATCTACAGCTCCTGGATAATTGCTTGACCCTAGCCAGAGACTGTCAATGTTTCCTTTAATGCCATTACCAATAAATCATTGCTTTTGTTCAGATGGTTTCACTAGTGTTTCTATTGTAATCTTGATACATGTATTTGTAAATAAAAGTCATTACTTTTGCCAAATTTAATTTTTGTCATTTTAAGTATGTAAGAATTTTTACTTTCCATTCATTTTGAAATTTTCTGGCTTCTCATTTTAGGAGATTTAACATATCCAGTGTTATACAGGCTGATAGTTGACTTTTTAAAGTTGAGAAACTGTCATAATTAAGAGTTATCTGTTTTTGAGAAAATATCAGTTTAATACAATAAAAATTGGAAATGCAAGGGACTGTGAAGAATGGATTTTGAAGTGCCCATGTTTGTATTATGTAATATTTTTATTAAAGAACAGTTGGTTATCTAGGGAAATAGGAATTTTACATGATCTTTTGCATACACTTAAGATTCAACTGTCTCCAAATGTTACCTGCAAACTATTAGATAATGGGATTGAAAATTCCTAGGTCTAATCATTTACCACACCAAGATTTTTGTGTCTTCTGAATCATTTGTGAGTCACCGTTTCATTTATTGTGGCTTTATGGACATTAATCATTAGGTAAAAATATAGTACTTGAAATTAAAAGTCTTTTAGTGTCATTAAATAAAGTTATTTCTATTATGTCATTCATTTAACAAATATTCATTGTGTTCACTACCTAAATATGCAATATAGATGTAGAGATGATGGTTCAGGGGTAAAATACCAAAGGGAGGAAGAGTATGGCTGGAATAACGAAATATGTATATTCACTTAAAGGATGCTTGGGAAACAATTTGGAGAACTTGGACAGGTTTCTCAGAGAAACCAAAATTTGATGTCATTTTGAGCTGTAATCTTAAAGCACTGGTAAATTTACTTTAAAAATATCCCTGAATATTTAAAAAATGGAATGACTATATAAGAATACACATGGCACATATAATTGTATAGTTAAAATAACTGAGTAATATCAGTCTGGCTTTTGGGGGTGTGTGTCTAGGGATAGAGTAGAGAATCTGTTTTGTCTAGAAATAGGTTTGATTTTGGCTTTGGGAGATTAATATGTTTAAATATATAGTTTTCTGGGTGTAAATCATGCAGAAAGCCTAGCATTTATTTCATGAAACACATGTACTGGTAGAAATTTCTCGTTTTTATGTACTGTTGCACATTAAATGGACTATAGTGATGCCTTTATTTCTTAAGTACTTCCTAGCTATGTTGCTTTGGGTGAAGTAGAGGCAGAGAGCCAAGAGATAATAAGGCATGTGAGACTATATGTAGAGAATCTCCAATGAATCACTTCTGAAATTTAGGACAAGATGAATATTAAGAGCTATTTTTGTTATAGTTTTGTACACAACTACCTTTTTGGGTGATTGTTCAAGTGCCTCATATTACATATTGCTGACCTCATAACAATTTATACTTGACGATTTGATAACCCAGTGATAGTGATTTTTCATATTTGTAAAGGATTGGACATCAGACCTATATTGTTTATGTAACTTTTCTATAACTTAATTGGTTACAATATACAAATCTTCCATAATACAAATTGTAAATAGTTTTAAATGAATGTTTATAGGTAACTGTAAAATGTTTCACTTAATGGGGAGTTTTAATACTACGAATAAACATGTCTTCTGGGCATAACTTAAAATACCAAGCTGAAATCCTGATGTTTTCTCATGGTAAGAGAGTAAAATCTAAAGGACATTTGAAACTGTCTATAGGAGTAAAAGCTGCCTTGGGAAAAGACAGCCATAATCATTTGAACTAAAGCTTATTTGAACAACTTGCCCATTAAAAAGAAAACTTTGTCGAGGAAGTTAGGTGTAGAACTAAAATTTTTAGTTAGAATAGTGAAACCTCTCTAGCATTTGGGAAAACTTTTGATATTCTTTCATTAGTTTTTGATGTTATGGCTCAATAAATTGTTTTTTTACATTTGATTCATCTTTTCTAATTTAAAATAAATTGGGTTCTGATTGATAATCCTACTCTTCTCCCAGGTGACATATGTCTTGTCTTTGTCCTTAGTCTGCAGAGCATATCGTTTCTCAGTAAGAGTATGCTGTGTGATGTACACAGTGATGATTTAATATAAGAAACTCTGCTTGCCAAGTGCACTGATTAGTCCCTGCCTTTGTAGAACTTAAAGCTGCACTTTCATTACAGCTGCCATAAATCGGGTACTAGAACTTTTGCCTAACATTCATAACACGTGGACAGGAGGGTTATAGTTGTCATTTGTCCATTGATAAGATGACCAAAATGTTGAAAATGAGTTTTTTAAAACTTGGATATTCCTGTGTTATCTTTAAATTGGAAAAAATGGCATTTATACATGCTGCTTGCTGTTGACAATAGGGAGCTAGATTAGATTTCTGATGTAAACCTCTGATCCCTAATGATCACAGTTGAGGAATATTTAACAGATTTTATTGCTGTGTGAGTTATAGTTAATGGATAATTGAAATTTATGTGACATCTGTGTCAGCAGTTTTTTTGGAGAGGGAAAAAAACCCTATAGCTTTCTGACATTTTGCCTATTAGAATTACCCGTTTATTAAGTTATGTAGTAGAAGCAGAGGAAAATCTGTTAGGAAATTTCACTCAGTATTACTGAGGAAAAACCTTGAAGGAATAAGGTTTTTATTTTTTACATTAAGTCTACAATTATATGAAATTTAGTATTGTGTGTAGAATTATTTGTCATTCAGAGAGTGAAGAACAGTTTCCCAAACTTTAAATCCCTCTTCTCTACTAGGTGTGTAGGAACCACTTCAAATGTAACAACTGAGTTATATTTTCAGTAATTGATACCTACTTCCCCAGACTACAGAGGTGCTAGGAAAGTTGTGTTGAGGATGGGATGATTTCTAATTGAAATTCCATGATTCAGAGTAATTTGTATTTGTAAATCAAATGCAAATCCCTACTACTTTGAAAGGACTGTGAGGCTGGGAAGGGCAAAGGAACCAGGATAAGAGAAAACAAGATTCCTTGCCTTTGAGAAGTTTATCAATCTAGTTTGTTTTCTTCCATAGTCTGTAGGTTGTTAAACTAACTACAGGAGAAGATACTTGGCAGTTCTAGTTATGTTACGATCTGACACCAGTTCAAAGTTCCTAATGCATTATTTTCCCTCTACTGTCACTTCCCAAAGGAATGCTTTGGAAAATTTAAGCAAAGTTTGTTGGAAAAACTCATTCCTTGAGTGTGCATATTTGTACTGTATACATCAGCAAGCAACATAATAGGCACAATTGCTAGCAGTGACAATTCTTCAAGGGCTAGGTAGAACACAGGTTCAACTTTTTAACAAATGCCACACACACACACACACACAAACTAAAAACAATAGTGGTGGGTTTTTTTTCCCCCTTTAGGAGTAGTGAAAAGAAAATAATAGCTTGCTTGGTGGAGCTGTAGTAAGTTTTTGCTGTGCATTTGTCATCAGTGAAATATCATCTATACTTCTTAGTCTTGAAATGAACCTCATACCCTAAACTCTATCCAAGTCTCCAATTTGCATAAGTTTTTGTAAAACCTGTACCCTATCATGTTCAGTCTCATTGTGCATAACAATCATCACACCTGTCAAACTGAGTAGGTTACATGCTTCTCAGAGATAAGACTTGTTAATTTTTTGAAGAGGTAACTTTAAATCATGAGTTGTCATCTAAATAGCCTTCCCAAAAATAAGAATTCTTCCTATAATATTCCTGATGAAATAGCCCTCCAGTCACTACTGAAATGTTCATTTGATGGACATCTTATGGGGCACTTGTGGACAACACATTGATAGGAAGTTGAATGTAAGAGTATTGAACTAATTTCCATTTTTGTCTATATTGCCAGAACTTAGTATGAAGTGCTTTCATTATAGTAGGTGCTTAATTAATATTTGTTGAAGTTTTTTGGATTTATTTGTACCATCTTTCCCACTACCTAATATAGAACTAGTACTAAGGACTCAATGTATATGGTCATTTATTCGGCTGTGCTGTAGTTGTAATGTCACTAGTTGCATTTGAAGTTAAAAGACAAGGTTTATATCCCATCTCTGCCTTGTACCTGTGTGAACTTGGGTGAACTCTGAGTATTGGTTACCCTCTCTATGAAATAAAGAGGCTATACTAGATCCTTTCTAAGATCCCATTAGTGTTTTCATTGGGCTTTGTTGAGATAATTCTAGAGATGGTTAGGTTAGATTGAATATTAGGAACCTGTTAAGAAGAGCAAAATGCATGTTAATCCTATTCTGCAGCCTTCAAAACCTTTTTAAAGCCCATGGGATTAATTTTGCTCTTTAGCCTCCATGAAAGACAAGCAACTGTCCCTGTGACACCTATGCTACGAATAATAAACTTCTTAAAAAAAAGAAATGCAGAGCAGTCTACTATAGTCTGGCTAACTGGCCTAAAATGGAATAGAGTGAATACCACTGAGTCCATGCAAACCAGTACTCATAGAGATTGTCGATCGATATCCCCACCATTTGTCCATTGTACCTCTTCAGAGACTCCAATTCTCAAATAGCTTTTTGATTTAATAGTCCTCGATGTTCTAACATGTTGCTGCTGTGTTTTTCCTGTCATTTCTTATTTTCAAATTAAAAAATTTTAACAAAAAAAAAATCCACCTTTTTCTCTCTCCTCTGATCTCGCTCTTCATTGAAGAAGAAAGAAAAACAAAACTTTTATAACAAATGCATAAGCAAGCAAAACAAATTCCTGCATTGGCCATATCCCAAAAGAATGTTTTTGGTTTTGTTTTTTAAGAATATGTTTCAAATACCATACTGAGTCCTTCATCTTGTCAGAGAGGGCATAGTATGTTTCTTCACCACCATCATTGCATTTATATAGTACTTCAAGGTTTTCAAAGTGTTCTACAAATTTTGTTTCATCTTATCCACACAACTCTGGGAGGTAATTGCTATAATTGTCCCTATTTAATAGGTGAGGAAACTGAGGCAGAAAGAGGTTAAATGACTTGCCCAGAATCACACAGCTCATTCCTAAGTCTCTTAAAGTTGTTTGTCTTCATAATATTATTATTGTATAAATTGTTCTCCTGGATCTGCTTATTTCACTGTGCACCAATTCTTACAAGTCTTTCCAGGTTTCTCTGAAACCACCTCCTTCACCATTTCTTAAAGCACAATAGTATTCCTTCAACAGGTTACTTCAAAAAATTGAACCCTAGCAAGGGCCTTGGGCACTAAATAATTTAAAGACAAGCCCAATTTATCAGTTTGTCACATTCAGCAAACAGCATTGTTATATATAAGCCCTCAAGAAAGAAGCCATCAACTTAATAAAGGCATGATTAGGCTAAGAACTCGTGTGATAGATACCCCAGCAAATATCTATTAAGCATATCCTATATGTAAGACACTGCTAGAATCAGTAGGGAATACATAGAATGAGACACTTCCTGCTCTCAGGGGAGAAAATAATAATTGACACAGCATTTTCAGGTTTGCAAAATATTTTACCTATATTATCTCACTAGAGGTAAGACATCACTAATATGTAACACAATATGAAAATACATAAAGGGAAGTACAATTATGTTAATTCAGAAAAGGGAAAGAAAGCCTAGTTTCTAATCCTGGCTTTGTTCTTAGTTGTGTGAGCTCAGCCTGTCTTACAATAGGTGCTTCCACTTTTTCTCTTCTCACTTTTTTTTTTTTTTTTGGCAACTGGGATTAAGTGACTTGCCCAAGGTCACACAGCTAGTAAGTGTCAAGTGTTTGGTCTGAGGTCAGATTTGAACTCAGGTCTTCCTGACTTCAGGGCTGGTGCTCTATCCACTGCGCTACCTAGTTGCCCCTCTTACTTTCTTCTTTTAACCTCTTATAATCTAGCTTCTGACCTAATTATTCCAATGAAACTGCTTTTTCCAAAGTTACCAATGATCTCTTAATTGCCAAATCCAATGTTCTTTTTGCCATCCTCATCCTCCTTGATCTCTCTGCAACTTTTGACAAGATTGATCACCATCTTCTCCTTGATACCCTCTTTTTAGTTTGTTGGGACACGACTCTGTCCTAGTTCTCTTCCCTGCTATTAGATTCTTCTCAGTCTGCTTTGTTTGATCCTCATTCACATCACCTGTTTTTTAAGCTGAACTGCTATCTTCAGGGCCATCTGCTTCCCTGTTGTCTATCTACTTCTGGAAGTAACATGATTATCTACAAAAGAGAAAGCTTTTCACCATAGAGAAGGCTGCATCTATAGTTGGTCAGCCCTCTTAACTAGTGGCTAAGAAACTTTTCTCCTTGGCTATGCTGTATTAAAAGAAAACGAAGGCTGAGAGATCAAGTCAACTATTTGAATTGTTTTTAGCACTATTATGTTTCATTCTTTTATGAACTCTTCTATTAACTACCATTTTTTTCTATTGATTCCCTTGAGTCTCTCAGTTTAACAGTCATCTAATATGGTCAAAACCCCATTTTAATTCTTGGATTTTACCATTATCTCCTTGGATAGTTAAGTCTGCTCTGTACTTTACTTTCTTAAATGGAAAAAGAACTGAAGGATTTCTGCTTTAGCTTCCCTATCATTCTCCTCTGTTATATGCAAAAAGCATATGTGCTAGCTTGAGAAGGCTGAAAATGCTGGAGACATCTGTCTGAATATCTCCTGTTCCACATAATATAAGGCAGGGAGTGATGGGCAAAGGAGATATCCAGACAAAATCCTCCCAGAATATTTGAGGTGGGAGAATCAGTCAACTATCATTCATTAAGCATCTGTTATATGCCTGCCACTCTGCTAAGTGCTTGGGATACAAAGAAAAGCAAAAAACAAAAACAAAAACAAAACCAAAAAAACCCCAAACCAACCCCCAAACCAAAAAAATAAAAAAAGAGCTCAAAGTCTAATGGGGAAGACAATGTGCAAACAATTATGTGAGAATGAGATGTCTATGTATG